CAAAAGCCATTTGCTGTGCTGCAATCAGCACAAACATTGTATGCAGCACTGGCGGTGGAAACTTTTGCTTTTTGGCACTCGTCAGATATGGATGCCATCACCAGGAGCCCGAGAACCGAAAAGTAGGAGCAGGAGCTGGAAAAGGAGCAGGAACAGCAGGAATCTTGGTCCTGCAAGTTTTTCTTGTTGCGAAAGTTTTTAATAGTTTGTTGGCGCTTTCGCTGATTTGCTGCAAAGCAAAGTTTCTTTTTTCCCGCAGCTCCTAGTTGGGTTGGTCCAAGGAGGCGGGGTCTTAAAGTATGCAATGCATTGCCCAGTTCCAAGGCATGCTAAATTTCAATGGACCTCCTAATGAAGACATGCTGCTCCTAATACGCAAGTAGCTGGCCTCAACGTCTCATGTTGGGCCTCCTTCTTTTTGTATGCATTTTATATACGTTTTCTGTAGGTTACAGGGGTATGCTAAATCCAAGCTGTGAAAAAGTTGACAGACATTGAAAGCGCTGAAAAACATACTAGCCATATTTTATTCATAAAATCAATTGTATAAAATCATATAAATACAAAAATAATTCATGGGATTGAGAGAGGATTTAAAGGACTTTTTCTGTAAATCAGAATGACACTTGAATGGAAAAAAATGAAAAAATAGTAAATTGATTTGTTAGCAATTTCCAAAGTGGGTAAACAAATGACACTTAGTCGAATGATGATTTATTTCAGTGGAAAATGTATATTTAAATGGTATTTTCAAGTCTAAAAATTCCATTCATAAGTGGTCATGTTTTTGTTGGCCCGCTTTTCTTTTATCTGCAAGTGGATGCGACGTGTCCGCAATAATTTGGCCGCACTGCTGTGGAAAAGTGGGTCTCGAAGCTGGGAGAAAAATAGAAAAAAGGCGAATATGTGTCAGGCGTGGCCAGAGAAAGAAATGCGGGGATTTGTCACATTTCGTAGGCTGCAGCAGGAGCTCTAAAGAGGCGACTGAAATAATCAACTAAGCCAAGTGCGGCAACTGCGACAAAGTGTGCAGCAGCAAATGAAGAAAGTTCGCGCTCCCTTTCTCCTTGGCTTTCTCCACTTTAGCCAGCTACATTGCGAAAAAGTCGTAGAAAAGTAGTTAAACTTCTGCTTTTTTCGCTGACATAATTCGCGAGAAGTGCGCCCGGCGCCAGTCCTGAATGATATATCCGAGTGGTAGTAATAAATTCCTCCCGTCATGCCACAAAGTATGCCAAAGTTGCTAAAGTCCCTTTTTAAATGTGAATGTGCTTTGAAGGCATTTCCATATGGCTGAGTGGAAATCAGATAGTTAGAAAAGAGTCAGAAAAGTGGAGTTGCAATAAGCGCATAATTTGTATGACAAGTTGCATGGCGGGTTGTGAGTGCACTTAAGGGGGCAAACTAGTTAAGCACAGATTGTATTAGATCTAAAGAGTTTTAATTAAAGATGAACAAAAAAATAACAAGCTTTAAGTTTACTTAAATTTAAAACAAACTCTTCATTTAAATATGTTTTCATACATTCATTTATTCATTTATAATGTCAAAAGAGAAATGTAAAAGAGAGGTCATACAGGTTTTAATTAATAAAAAATTATTCAATAAAAAATCTTAAGCTTTAAAAATGTATAAATTGTTACATTAATTGAAAATGTCAAAGGAGAAATTAATCAATTGAGGTCACATTTAAATTGTGAAAAAAAGGATATTTCAAATAATTCGTTTAGCCCAACTCAAAGGCTTTTCGTTAAAGTTCAAACTACAAAAGAAAAATTGTATAAATAAAATGTGAAAAAATATATTTAGCTGTAGCTCGAAGAGTTTTTTGATGACACTAAATTAACATAAATAATAAAACAAAAAAAAATGCACAAAATGCGTATGCATTTTTATCTTCTACAATTAATTTCACTTTTGTGGCTTGATTCTGACCTTCAGCCAACATTGAGGACTCGATTAAAGCCGCAAAATGGCCATTGCAGTCGGGACCACGCCCCTGTCCAGAGGGGGTCGGGTGTGGAGAGGGGCAAACAAATAGCAACAACGTCTGGTTATGGCCAAGTTCAAGCCAATGTCTGGCGGCGTCTGGGGCACGTGCTGCCCAGATTCATCTCCGTCAGCAGAAGCCTCAACATCAGATTCAGATTCGGCTCCATCTCCGCCATTTCTCTCCATTTAAATCGAGCCAAGGGGCAGGGGCGGGTCGGGATTCGGGAACTGAAAACCGGGAGGGGGTTGGAAAAAATTGTGAAAAATTTGTAACCGAGGCGTTTTGTTTGCTCTCGTTTGCTTTGGTCACGGATACCAGACTGCCAGTCAAGTCAAGTAAACATGATGTGCGGGGTCTAATTTTTTCCCCTTTTTATTTTTTACATTTTTACTTTTGCCAGCCAGTCAACCCAACCGGGGGTTCCCCTTTTGCTCGACGCTGTCTGTGAGCTATATGGTTGCACAATATTTTACATTTTCATGCATGACGCGTTTAATCACGTGATGCATATGATTTTTAGCCAGCCCAGGGGTTATGGGTTCTGGGGTCTGGAGTCCTGCGCTCTGGAGTTTGGGATTTGGGGGCTTTCCTCATATATTCATGCATACAATTCCATCAGCATGAATTATGTTTTGCATACTTTCAGGCTGAGTTTGAGGGAGCTTTGCTTGTTTTGCGTTTAGGTCTTTGGCGCTGTCTGGCGCATTCTTGCAGCCCTTGATGCCCTCGGCAGTCGCCTTTCATCTCTCCCTGAGAGATCCTACTCGACACGGGCTGCCTGCACTTTTTCTACATTTTTCGGGGGTGAGGGCCCACTCAAAAGTTGTGGATTAGAGCGTGTAATTTTACTAAAAAGCGCCAACGAGCCGCACTTCACACACACGGCAACAGTAGGGTTTACCAAAATAGTAACGACTTTTGTCGTGTTCAATAGGGGATATATAAATATATTTTTAACTTTTAAAGTAATGTAAATAATTTTAATATAGATTTTTCAAAGGGGACACAATTTAAAATGTGTCAATTTGTTTTTACCTCGTTTTTAATTTAAGTTTGCAATCAAAATAAAGTTTAAAAATCCGTTTAAATTATAAAATTTCATTAATCAGCTTACCTATTTTTTTTACCTTTGCTGTGAGTGTGCAAAGGGGGTTCCCCAGTGAGCGGTTGTTGCCATATTTTAAGTGTTTTCTGGTTTTTCGGCCACTGTGCACTGCGCTTTTAATTCCTCTCGCAGCGCTCGCCTGTAATTTATGTGCTTAACTTTCACACTCGGCTGGCTAAAACAGTCACCGAAAAATCGTCATAAAAATAGAAAATATATGTATATGAACACTCGCACTTGGCCATTTCACACTTTTGCGCCTTTGGCCGAAAAGCGGCGGAAAATGAAAGCGAAGCCGCAAGGACAACAACTAAAAGCGGTGGAGAACTGGAATATATATTCCAGTGAATATTTATGAGCAACAAAAGTAGCATTTGTGCTTTACATTCCGACTTTATTGTGGCCATTGTTTTTGTTGTTGTAGTGGTACTAGTTGTTGTTGTTCTTGCTTTTGTGAGCAACAGTCCCGTCCATCGTCAAAATTTCTGGCCGCCTTTTGTGGCAGATGTAATACAACTGAGAAAAAGTTAAGATACAATTTAACATTCGTTTTTCGAATTGAACAAAATAAATAAAAATAAAATCTTAGTATAAAAATATTGCTATTATATATAGTTAAGGAAATCAAGTATGTTTTAGGAGTCCGAATTAATTTAAAAACATTTTTTTGGTGGTAATGCATTGAAATATTTGGGGATATCAAGTTGTTAAACACTTTATTAAAATATTTAAAAAATTTAAATAATAGAATATAGCCTATATAGGCTATATGGATTTGAAATTATAATTAAATTATGTTTTTCACCGTGTGATGTCGGTACTGCTCTTGTTGCTGCTGTCGTCCTCATCGCTGTCAGCTTTTCCGACTCTGATGAGTTTATGCTTGGGGCCCATATTACTTTATTCCGGAGAGTGTGCCCTAGCTCCTGGCCACGCCCCCCGCCCCTGCGGTTTGGCCCCACCAACACACAGAGACACACACACACACACAGAGAGTCGGCCATTCATGACTGTCATGAGTTTTCCGCAATTGATGGTCTAATTATGCCGCCAACACTAAATTTCATGACTTTGCTGGTCGAGCCAACACGCAGACGAAGGCCACTGATGATGAGGGGGAGGGGTTCTCTGCTGAAGGGAGGGGGGATTGTAATTTAATGGAAAAACATTTTGCCACACATCCACAGGGAGCGGAAAATAGGAGCTGAAGCTAAGGGCCACTTTACAGTTTGACAGCCTCTGCCGGCCGGTTGACATTTTAGCTCGGATTTATAGCCAGCCCATTTTACTCGCATGTTAATGCAACAGTTTGAGATTCCTGCTTATATGGTTGCCAGTTTAAGAGCTCTTTTAAGGGGCATAACATCATTAACATAAGGTTAAACGAAGTTAAAAACTTATAATGTTTATATTATTACTATTTATATGATGCACACTTCTTTGTTGCTAATAAACTAATCCTGTATTTTATTGAGTTCCTAATTCGCTTATTAGTTATAAACAGCTTGAATTCATTAATCGATTAAACCGATTAATTAGTCATATTTTTTTCCTGCCAGCTTATTGAGATCCACTCACTCGAGAATCGCTGGCGGGCCTCTATTTGGATTTTGTAAAGCTAAAATGGTAATTATCATACCGAAACCAATGGGGCATATCAAAATGTTCACACTTCATAATATTTGCATATTAATGTGCATGTATAATTAGCACCAAAATAATTAATGCCCGAAAACAAGAAACCTAATCGAATGCCAAGGCAAAGGCAAAGGCATCTCATCTCCTAATGAGAATGAGAATCCATGGCTTGGGAGAATATTTGATGTGTGAAGTTAGTTAGTCGGAGCTTAGTTCTTGGCGAGAGTTTCGACGGGAAGGTCTGGCACTAATAAGCCTTTAAATATGTATCCAAATTGGCTCGTTCTGCTCCACTTGCCGCTGGTTTGTTTGGGAGTTGCCTCGCAAATGTTTGCACAGCCGCTGACAAAGTAGGTCGTGTGGATTGTGGGTGGCTGCCTCCGATGGGTTGGGTTGTTAGCGGGTCAATCTATTGAGCAAACTATTTGCTTACAGGAACCACAGCAGCGGCATCCTGAGCATCAAACGGGCGGAGGGACAGCAGATTGAGGAAGCCGCGCTGCCGCAGCATCTGCAACAAATCACGGGCAGCGAGGCGTTGGCGCCATTGTTGCTCGAGTTACTGGACCAAACTGTGCCAAATTGGCAGCAGCAGCAGAAGCAGCAATCCCACCAGCAACTCCAGCCAAAACAGCAGCAACAACAGGCCACAAATCAACCGCAACAACGGGGGCAACACTTTTTTGTTTATGAAAATGCCGCGGGTCAACCACCTCAAATATTGGCCGGGTTCAATGGCGTCAATGTGCAACCTGAACAACACCGCCATAGCCTCCAGCCAAAGCCAACGCCAAAGCCGAGCCCAAAGCCATTTCAGACTGAACAACAAAATGTAGGAGCTGGGCCAAAAATCGTTAAGGCGCCGCCAGCCGCAGCCGTTTGGGCGCCAGAGCTCAAGGGCCAACACCACCCCCTACCATCGGCGTAAGTAAACACTGAAAACTACCAACTACCAACTTATATAATCCATTATTTGCATTAAACAATGCATTTTAATTAGCCCATCCCCGGCAACTGCAGCGCCAGCAAGTTGCCAACTCTGCTGCAATCCATCGGAAGTTGCCACGCCCCCTACAACGCCCTGCCCGCCCCCTTTGGGGAGTGTCCACGAGACGATCCCGTTGCTCAGTGCCACGGCGCTCAAGGCGACAGCTGGTTAAGTTTTTAATTAAATCGCTGGCATAATTAATAAAGATGCGCATAGAGAGTCGGGCTGCAAAGTGTTGCATACTTTCGGGGCGGCCGATCGCATGTATTGGTGGCCTTGTTCATGTGTGTGTGTGTGTTTGTGTGTGTGCACTCAATTTCCATCTATATGACAGCGCGGCAGCTGTGCCAGATTATTTTTTGAAACGACTTAAAGGTTATCATAAAATGATTAACATTAAAATATATTCCTAAATAAAGTTTTTTGGGGCACATTTTAAGCTGAAACTCTTTTTAAACCTTTTGGAACAATATTAATATTAAAAAATCCTTAAGAAATGCATTTAGCCATAATTTAAAACTATTCTTATTTTAGGGATTCATAACATTTTTAGCTTTTTCAAAGAATTCGTCTGTCTAATCTGCTAGCCGATTTAGTTGTCACCCTCTGCAGACCAGAAATTTCCCGAACAATATGTGACTTATCTGTCATCGTGGTTTCCCCCAACTGTAGCCACCACCCAAGGACCTCACCCACCAGGATTCGTTGTGAGCTGTCACAGAACTCAGCATAAAAGTAAAACATGCAACTAAAAACAATTTCTAAAAATATATATGTACGAACATAAAACATGCAACACGAAAAAACCGCACAAAACACTTCATGTTGAGTGCGACTCGCAAATTGTGGGGCGTCTGTGTGAGTGAACTGCACCACACCAGCACCACCACCATCGCCGCAGAAAAGAAGCAAAATAATAAATAAAAATCCACAAAATGTATGTGTGCCGAAGCGTTGAGTCTGCGGCGGAGTGTTTTTCGCAAGTGTTCGAGCGGGAAAATGAAAGTGCTGAAGTGTCGCCCATTGTTTGTCCTGTCAACGAAGCAGCTGCCTGCATTTGCATTCGCATTGGCCGCAAGGAGTTGATGACCGGAATAGCCGTCGGATGAGGTCTATAATCTTTAGGGTTTTATAGCGTTTCGAACGAAATTCTAGATCTTAAAATAGAAGCGAAAACACAGGTGACAAGACTGGATAAATAATGATTTCAACCTTCTAGTAGAAAATAATATGTAGAATATTTATATGTTATTTAATATTCTTAAGTAATTAAGAAAATATTTCAAAATATTGTCCGAGAAATAATTAAAATGTTATTTTATTTTGTTCCACCCCAGCAATCTTTTCAGCTGAAGTCAAAAACCCATTTAATTTCAAAATTAGTATAAAAATGTGTACTTGATAATGTTAAAGAATATCTTCCAAATTAGAGTTTAGTACTTCGTTCGCTGTAGGTCTTGACAATCAAACTGAAATTGGATTGAGTGTGGATGTGGCTGTGGCTCCGACCCTTTGACGTCTTGCAGATGTGAGTAAAATGGCAAGAAGGTGGGGGTGGCTCCTTTGTTGTCATCGGCACTTCAGTACACATTTTATAGGGCTCCATTCGACGGCTCTAATTTCATGCACGCATAATCAGGGAGCGTGGCTAATTAAATTCTAAACATTCGCCAGCATCAGCGCACTAAAAAATGTTTTATATGACTAGAATCTAGAGCCCCGTTCTGGGTTTCCTCATCCCCTTTATACCCATACCCATCGCACACCATCCCATTCCAACCTCCATTCCAATCTCGAGCTGAAGCTTTGTAATTGCAGATCCCCGACTTCGTACACGCCCCTATGCAAATGGCACAAAGCTGCTGCTTCTGTTGTTGCCGCTAGTCCACTGAAAGAAAATATGTGGCAAAGTTTTTATGATACATTTTAAATTTTTAGTTATATTCAAAACAAAATCCTAAGCTATGTTATCTTAGGATCTTAAAATTTATGAAGTAGTAGATATTAATTGAAATAAGATAGGATGAATTTAAATGTTTTCTTTCATAACAAATAAGTACCTCAAATAGAAATTATTAGGAATTCCAGTTCAAAGTTTTTGAATGATTTTAAAAAAGTATTTGAGAAATTTGAGTCGATAATGATTTATTTTACATTTTAGAGAAAATTTATTTTAATTGGTAAATTTACTTTATTTCTTTAGTATTTAATTGTATTATTGATTGCTAAAATCGCCAGGGTGGTTTTAGGTGATGGAAATCATCGAAAAGATTTTGTTTTGTGTGTTTTAAAGGAAACTTGTTCCCCTTTATTTCGAGTGTAAATGTTGCTGCTACTGCTTCGTGTTGTTCTCTTTGTGCCCATCTGCAACCTCATCTCATCTCGCGTTGACGGCTTTTGAACTGCCTTCGTTTGTTGTCGTTGTCGTACTCTAAATTAACCGTTTCGTTACGTCAGCGCTGTCTTTTGTGCGTTGACAGAAGCGATTGTTGTTGCTGCCGAGTGAGTCCTGTAGCCCTGTAGTCCCGAGTTCTGGGGTCCCGAGTCCTGTTTAGTTGCAAGTTTGTATGAGGCAGCCGTGCGTGCCCGGTCGCCTGGCAATTGGAGCAATCAGCCAGCTCAACTCAGCCCGGTTCTGCAGCTTTTTGGCCCCGTTTGCAGCTCCAGCTCCAGACAGCCCATCCCAATCCCAAACCCGATCCCAATGCCCCAGCACCAGCACTCAGCACTCAGCCGCACTCAACTGACGGCGCAGTTCGGAGACAGTTGGCTTTGTCTTGTCAGCTGGGTCCTGGCACTGTCCTGATTGGCATTTACAATTAGCGAGTGGGTAAATAGAGAGAGATGCTGCGAGAATGCTCCAAGTCCTGGTGCCAAAATAAACGAAAGCTCGTTTCGGGGATCGTGGCTGCACCCTTTTGAATTACCCCTTTATTTTAGAAAAAGATTCTAAAGCCTGACAAAATAGAGCGAGAAAAACCTCTGAAATACTAAAAATATTCGAAAAAAATGTAAGTGGTAAATAATTGCACCTATATAATCAAGAATTAATTTTCCATAATTAGTAAGTAAGAGAAAATTAATACAAAGAACAAATTAATTAAAAACATTTTCTTGTTTCTGAAGATCTTCTGATAACTATAATTAAATCTCAGATTTTAGGGTAGCAAAACCTCCAACTAAAAGGCCTAAAAGTATGCAAGCTTTATTGCTCACCTACACATAGAGGCCAACGCGTTTGCGTGTTTGTGTGGCAATGGAATAATGTACTCTTAATTTGTTATGCGTGTGTGATTAATGATCCATGCATAACGATAACTTTGACTCATTACACCTGTTGATTTATCGCTGTCAACGGGTGGTCCACAATGTCACTTTGCCACCCAGCACACGTCACTTTGCCACCCACCTCCCTACACCACCCCAAAGGCACACGCCATTACAGGCACATGGAAATGAATTTTGAATTTTGATTCGGCCACTTTCGCTTAATCATTTCGCAATTAGCCGGCATTGTTAGGGCATTTGCATTGATTTATTGACGCTGTCGCGAAGACTGCGCTGTGTTCGATTTTCCCCATTGGTATTTTTAATTTTCCCATTTTCCATGTCAGTTAATTTTCCACTACAGTTCGTTCGCCAGCATGGAAAATGCACAATTAATTAAGCTTTACTGCTTTTTTTACTCTTTTTTTTGCCTTTGCCTCCATTGACATTTCCGCTTACTTTTCCCTTACTTTTTGTCAGCATTTATGGGTCTTTGGAAAGTGTGAAGATTCAGATTCATTGGTATCGATGGAGATGCAAGTAATTAATGGGCGTGGCAGCGGTTGCCCCCAACACTTGTGCCGCCTGCGCTAATGACCCATATTATGAGGTTATTACTGTAGTCTGCGTTTTCGCGATTGCCAGTGCATTTGTGATGACATTTCGAATGTGTTAAGTAATTGCAAAAGGCTTCGATGAGTCGTCGAAACCGAAGACTGCGGCCGGGGAAACACTCGTCTGCGGAGGCTGATGAACTGCAGTTAATTGAAGTCTATTTGGGTTGATGGATGGTCGGACTGGTCTGAATAAACCAAGACCGTTTGCCCGGGGGAGAGGGTCTTAATTAGGGTATTGGGTAGACAAAGGCCCGAATAAGCGGGTTGGCTGCAGTTGTGCAAGATCGGACGGAAAGATTGGTCTCAAGTCAGGTTGAAATCATCATGAGGGAGTGCTAAATCGAGACTTTAATTACATTTAAAATTTTTTTACGATTTTTATACACACTTAAAGTTATCTATCTCTTTGACATGTATTCACCCAGAAAAAAAAGACCGAAAAAATCTAAGACCGAATTTCTTACATTACTACCGTTTTGTTCTTTTATTTTTTTAAGACCATATTCTTATATTGATACCAAAGGGTATTGATTTAAGACCAGTAAATTTAGATTTAAGTTGAACTTATGCACGCGCGCGAAGCACGGTGCGATGGCCCAGTTGGTAAGGCGTCTGCCTCTGATGCCAGAGGACCCCGGTTCAAAAACCGGATAAGTCAAAGTAAGTAAAAAGTTTTTCAAATGTATTTCAATTAATATTTCCTTAATAACTTTAAGAACAAAAATGTATTTAAAAAGTTAAGTTGTTAATTTACTAATTAAAAAACAAAAAAAAAGTTGTGTTGTGAGCGGGAATTGAACCTCGTACCCCCAAACACAAAATAATACCAGAATCTAGCACCTTGGCCCCTGGGCTATGGCCTTATTATTTTCTTCCATGGAAGAATGCTTACAGGAGCATTCAAAGAAATTTATTTTTGTACTAAAAATAAATTTAAATTTAAGTACGTTTTGTTCTTAGAGTAAGAACAGCGGTCTTAAAAATCCGTTCTTAAAATAATACCATAAATTCTTATAATGATACCAAACGGTATAAAGCTATTTTTGAGACTCAAGCAGACACGTTTTCAGACACAATCAGAACAATTTTTTCCCTGAGTGTTTAAATAATGATTTATACTCTTGTGAAAAAAGTCCAGATACTTATTTACGTAAAATAAATTCGAAACAATTATCCTGTTTCAAATCATATGCTGCGTATGATAAAGTGTACAATTTATATAAAATTAAATTAATTACCATGCTTTTTATATTTATTTTGATATACTACGTTTATATACATATATAAAACATTTTTTTGCAATAAACCTACATAAATGCATACCTACATGAATTTTAAAAAGCCCGGAAGGATCTAATAAAATTATGTTATGTAAAATTCTTATGATATTAAATAAGGTAGTATATATGATATAATGCAATAATTAATTTATTTTACCCCCAGATTAAATTGAAATGCCCTCGGTTGAGGTGAGCGTGCGCCAGGGAGCCGCCTTTCTGGCCCTGTACGTGCTGCTCCTGGCCGCTCTGGTCCGTCCGCAGATGAACTTTAGTATTTTCGTGGACTCGTTCTTCCTGCGGGTCAAGTACTCGGCGGTGATGGTGCTGAGCTACCGCTTCGACACCTACATGGCCTTGGCCGCCGCCCCACTCAGTGCCGTCACCGTTTTCGCCCTCTCCAAGTGGAATGAGCGGTGCGAGAATCCCTCCTCCCACAAGCTGATCATCACTGGCGTGGCCTGCTTCTATGTCCTGGTGCTGTTGGCCAATGTCCTAGCCAACGGAATGGTCATGCAGCAGGCGCTCATCCGATTCGACCAGTGTCCCTATAGGGCGTGGTACATGTATGGCCAAATGGCGATGTCCTTCATCAAGTCAGCGATTGCGGACGTTCAGGAACTAGTCACAAGACAGCACCACCGACGACCCAGGCTGATATATCGTATGCATTAGGAGAAAAGCATCTCATTTAATATTACATATTGTTTAAACAATAAATTATTGTTTTTAGAAAAATCATAAACATATATCTATTTGAAATCCAGAAGCTATTTAATTGTTTGTAATATAATTAGGTTTCTGTAAACGATACAATGCTATATTACTATAATTTTCCCAATCAATTAATTCATTTGTGCCTGGCTGTAATATTCAGTTACCTTGCTTGAATTTGGCATTCCAAGGCATCATAATTTCATCAGGGTAAGTGCAAGTAAATTATTGTGAGAGGTGATTATTTATCGGCAACTGTGACTTTATCTGGACACAAACAGGAAAACAATGAACCCAAAGTTCAAGTCTGCCTGAGGTTTCCATCCGACCAGCGACCAGCTGCCGGTGATTCGATTGTGGGTGGTGCAGGCCGGGTGGTTTACGGTGGATTGAGCCGGGTTTGTGTTGGCTCGATGGCAAATGATGTGCACAGTTTGTTGCGGTCAAGTTGCATATTAGATTTAATGCGATTTGCATTCGCCGCTGCCTGCATCGATAATAATGCGCTGCCCCAGGCGACACTTGGCTGTTTGGTTTGGTTTGGTTTCCAGTTGGGATTCAGATTGGGATTGAGTTTGGGTTTGCGTTGGGGTTTAAGGAGTCTGAGGCGGGTAACGTTTGTCTAGGAAACCGCAGAGGCGGCGGAGTATCCTACGATTTTGGGGAGGGCACAGGGGCAGGGCGTGTCTGGCGAGTAAGTAATTTTGTGGTTGTATTCCGGGGCACGTTGCTTTGAGGCTTCCAACTCGATCGGCGTTGTGGCGTGGGCTTTTGGCAAATAGTTAAGCGCAAACACAGGCCAACATCCCTCTACCCCCGAAAAGGTCACCCTCTCAAATGGCCCACGGGTGGAATCCGGCCTCGGATAATTGAAATTTTATGCCTGGCTTAAGCAAAAGTATACAATTCAGACTCTGACGTAAATTCCCAACAGAATGTTTTACATATTGTAATCCCGAAACAAAAAATACATTGTTTTCTCCGCTGCCCGAAAACATGTCTTTGATCTCCAAAACATGTGCACAAAATGACAAAACAAAAAATAAAAAAAAAAAAATTAAAAACAGGCCAATTTACACACAAAAGGGAAAACGAAAAGCCAGCAAAAAACTTTGTGCATATATGCATATGGATATGCAAAATACAAATCGCCAGCAAATTAAACGAAACGAAATGTAAGTGCTTAAAACAGAGCTAAATGAGTTCTGGCTTTGCCAAAAGGCATTAAATATTTCCCCAAAAAAATGCGAGAAATGCTGGATGCTAAATGCTGAAACCCGCCAACGGGTTTCCCCGAGACACTAAAACTTATTTATGCCTTCGTTTTGATCGAGGGGGTGGCCTGCTGTCTCTCTCTGACAACCCTCTTCCCTCTCTTTCTGCACTCACGAGCATGTGCGCTTGACATTCCAGCCAAATATAAAACATTGGAACATGCTAATTTATTTTTGAACTGCGGGAAAAAACATCGATGTTGTTAGCAGCCAAAGCAACTTCCCACCGAAAGTTGTAAATAAAGTGTGGTTAAACCCAAAAGGCCGTTCCGGCTAAGCCCAGAAAATATGTAGAACGATTTGTCTTTGATTTCAGATAGCAAGTCATCATTTATGCCGGACTTTGATTTATTTTTGGGGCCGCAGATTTCCCCAGTAGTCACAAGACATCATTTCTATATGGCTTTCAAATAAACAAATATAAAAGGGAACTCCGATATACTTCATAAATATTTTAAAATATTTTTCTTTAATAAAATTAATACTTTTATTATATGGAAAAAATTAACATTAATTAGATGTATTACCTTAAAAGGTCATCAATTTGTAAAGTATTTATTTATTTATTTACTGCATTAGTACTTACAAATTTGTCAAGTTATAAAGTTAAGTGGTTGTCAAACGTTAATTAATCTGATCATATAATTCCATTCATTTTTCGAATTGCATGTCTAAGTACTAGGTATCAAAAAATCGAGCTTTATTTAAAATTGCAAGTCTTGCTTAGATTTTCCTAGCTCTTATCTTAAGTGATCGTAAAAAGCCGCAAATTAAAAGAGCGCACTTTGAAGTGTGTTCTAATTTCTTTTTATTTTTTTTGCGAACTCAACAGAGCTACCTGTTTGGATTAAGATATAATCTCGCAGCTGAGGTTCGGCTGCCAAAAGGCACTGCCTGGGATTTTCCCGATGGGATGTGGAGAGATGTTATTGAACCGCCGCAGGATTATCAGTACTTAAAGTGACAGGAGGTTGACAAAAATTGAAATGTCAGATCAATGCGAGACAATAAAAAGCAGTGATTGATGTGCCAATTTGTAATCTGTTAATTAACATATCCCCCGCCCGCCGCCTTAATTACCTTTGCCCGCCCAAACACCCAATTTCAGTGGTACAAAGCGAGTGCAATTAATATTTTTATTACGTTTAATTCGGATTAATTGCCGCGCACATTCCATGAATCATCCCATCAAATGTGTGTCAACGCGAGCGCCTCATAGTCGAGCATCGCGGCCAGATTTGCATTTCTTTTGTTTTCCCAGTCCCTGACGCCACAAACCCGATTTCTGGATCTCCGGCTTCCCTCAGGTGTTCCTGACCTGTGCTCCTCGGCTCAACGTGTGTCACTCACTCCGCGAACCTCAGAATCTCTGAGTTTCAGCCTTCGCTTCAGCTTCAGCATCACCATCGCCATCAGATTCAGATTCATCTCGGCTCGGTTGGAAATCAAAGTCTGGAAACCGGATTTGCATGCCAATAAAGCCGAGGCTGGCAAACAAAACAAATCAAACGAAATGAAATTCTTTCGGCTTTCGCCTGGCTTTTGCTTTAAATACAAAATCGCACGGCTCAGAACATTAGACTGGTTTAAGAGCTCGAATTAAGCGCATTGACGGGGAATAAAGTCAGACGTCAGCTTAAAACACATAAAGATCCTCCAGCAAGTGTGAACAACCAACAAAGTGCTAAAATTAAATTCAAGTTAATTATATAAAATCATTTTTGGTGTTAATACTCGTATATTACCAATGGCTTGCAAATATAACACACAAATGGTAAGCATCTGCAGTGAATTGTGTGATCTAAAGTGTCTTTATTAACAATAAGTACAAATTAATTTTGTGATAGCCCATTTGCAAATAAAATAAATTTAAATTTATCATATTTAAATATTTCAAATTTTTTCAAGTTCATGTACATAAAATTAAAGTACTTAAAAATATTTTCAAAAATAATTATTCTTATCCTTATTTAATTATTTTTTACCTCTCGTAAAGATTTTGCTCAGCTGTAGTTTGGCTGCGCTTTTGAGCTTCTCGGAAGCCCTGCCCCGATACAGTCGCCCCAGGGATTTGGGGACCGCCGCCAGCTCCCCCAACTTCGCCTATGCGCCTAGTCCCCAGGAACCCATGACACTCACCGGAAACTACAACCTCATTATGCCCGACTACTATGACCACCATCCAGCTGAGTCCATGCAGCTGCAGAACTTTGCCAACTTCTACGATGCCCAGATGAGTCCCGATTCCGATCTGGGAATGGAGGAGTCCCAGTTCCTGACCCACACTCCGGTGAGAGCTCCTCAGCCTCTGACTGCCCAGGAGAAACGTGCTCGCCAGCAGGTTCCTCACGTGGACATCAACCGCGAGAAGAAGGCTCTCCTAAAACTGAAGAAGGGCAACACCCAGCCCAAGGGAGCCGATCACCAGGAATGGGACCAGTTCGACTACGATCTGTACAGCCTCAATCCCGGCAACAACAAGAAGTATAACTACGATGTCTAGACGGATCCCGGGTATTCCTCTCTAGATCGACTGTATATGTTTATGTTTTTGTTTTCTGTTGGTTTAAGCTCACAAATAAATTATTTATTTATTGTTAACTGCAATCGTATTTTCGTCATTTTGATTGGAATGCCGTTTAAGCCACTTTTTTATTTGAAGCCATATAATTGGTCAAGAACCATTAACATTCACTTTATGACCGAAAGCAGGCCAATTCGGGCGAGTGAAAACAGTGATGATACTTTTCTGCGCATTTTTAGCTACTTTTAAATTGTAATGGGGATAAATAAAATATTCTCGTTTAAATTATAAATTGTATGAGAATAAAAAGTCCTTTTTTTTTAAGTTTTATACTTGTTTAAAAAAACTTTTTCAAGACTTGGTTCAATCTCATTTTATTCTTAATATAAAGAATCTACATTAAATAAATTCATTCCACAGTGTCCAACCTAAATATTGACACATTAAAAACAAACATTTATCTTTCCTAAATAGGAGACCAAGTTGTCATGTGTATGAGTCAGTTAAGAAATTAATTATCTTGATTCTACATAAACATTTATAGTCATTTTTGATTCAGCGGAAATGATTTGAAAATAAAAATAAATTGTCTTAATGGTGAATTAATAAGAGGTACTATTAAACGATTCTAAATGTCAAAGAGTTTTTTACTTCACCATACTTTTGTATCTTACTTACATAGATTTTTCCTTACTAAGTAAACCATGATTGCTCTTAAACAAATTCCACTTTATTGTTGATCCAACAAAATCCGCTTGAGTTCCTCGATCCGTTCGGGCGAGGGCTCAAAGAACGAGCTGTCCACCTGGACTTCCTGGTGGCTGTAAATCCGACGCGGTTGGGGGCGGTTGGCGTGGTAGGTGGTCAGGGCAGCGGCGTGGTCCGACTCCTCGGCATTCCCGCAACCCAGGGAGGGATGCTCTGGGTAGACACGTGGCTTCAAGCGGTGCTTCCTGGGACGACTGACCTCACGGATTTCCTGCAGCTGTTCGCCTGATGGCTCGCCATATAGGTAACCATCGTCAGCATCGGCCAATACAAAGCCCAATGTCACTCCAAACATCATCATCATCTAGCGGAGAGCATATGACGTCATTAGTTTGGAAACGAGTTATGCGGTATAGCGATTTCAGATCAATGATTACCACAAACGTTAGCACCAAAACCGTCTTCATGGTTCTCCGAATCGTATTCTTAATATGTCTCGACGCTTCGGGCTCCGCAAACTGACTAGCTTAAAGAACCGGGTTCCAATCTCCCAATGGTGTTTTATCTGCCCTTAGAACATATTATGCAATTATGCTAGCGGTTATGACATAATCTAAGCGTTGAAAGAGACTAGAGAGAGAGAGAAACCAGTTGCTTATGATACATCTTGTATTTGTTTGAAAAATGTTTGATATTGGCTATAATTTCTGCAAAAATATCTATTGAGACAGAAATTTATTGCATTTTAAATATTTAATTGATTGCTTTTATGATATAGTGCTATAAATCCAAACAGTTGCCCGTTCGATGCCTTTGATGTACCAGGAGCTATAAAAGGCGTAATCGCCTACTGGAAGCGGCAGGATATCGGTAAAATACTTATTCATATCTTGGATAGGAAGCTTTTCTATCTCAATATCGTGCTGAAAAAGTGGTCAAAATCATTATTGAATTAGATGTTTAATCTCGATAATAACCCACATCATAAGGACATTTATGGTTATAATTGGAGTACTTTTTGCTAACTTCTTCGTAAAGTCTAAGCATAGGATTCCCCGTATTCTTCTTACTGGCCATATATTTACAAACATCGACGGTGACGTTCATGGTAATGGGCATATAAGACCGAAACCTTCTTAGCATTTGAAGGTTTCCCTAAAAAATACATGTTAATAGGATGATAAGTTCTGGGAACCTTGAGAACCTACTATTGCATCATTGATGGGTAGTTGGTGGATATTAGTCTTAAGCGATATGTACTTATAACTTCGATTAACAGACTTGATGTAGCAGTACTCGAACTCCAAAAAATTCTTGTCCTTTGTATTGCACTTTATGTTGGTGAACTCATACTTAGAATCGATCTGGTGGTAAACATAAATATCTCGTCTAAAAGATCGTTAACTTTGTATGTATCCTTACATCTGTTATATTTCCAAAAAGTAAAATTAAAATAAATAATAATTTTCCCTTAAAATACATTTGTGTGTTTCAACAGGTCAGCGGCAACTGAAGTCACCTTTTTCAATTTAAAACATATATTTAGTAAAAAGTGGTAATGAGACTTCCATTGTTTAAAAATAATTTGATTTTCGTTGATCCGGAACGCTTTAAACACTTTCAAAAAATTGATTAACGCGCTTCATTAAACAATAATAATTATCCTGTCATTGCTAGCTAAAGTCTTGAAAAAACAGTATTTAAGGAACTACAAAAAAAATGCAATTGAATTTTTGGCCTTATTTTCTAGTTAAATTTTCATAATTTTTAAATCACCTAAGGCTTTCATGATATATTGCCATAAATCCAGACAGTGGCCAGTTTGATGCCTTCAGTGTACCATAAGCTGTAAATTTTAATTAACTTCCAGACGTAGCAGAAATACTCTCTGAAATCTCACAAAATCTTCCTAAAAGTTATCGAAAAGATTTGATTTATCCATTTTGCTCTTTTCCCCTGATCAAGATTTGTTTATGGCTGTGAACCAATATGTTTGGCACATGTTTACCCCATTTGCATTTACGCATAAATACATCCATTTTTGGTTTGGCCATTCGACCCCATTAATTTCTCGCTGTGCATTCGATTTTGGCTAATTAGCATTTGATGGCTCGGCCATACGCAATCGCACAATAAAATATCACCATCGAGCTGATTAAGCAACAGCCAACAGGTTATGATATTAACATATCTGCTGAATCGCTTGATTTTCCCGATTCCCACATATGCCTACTTTTGGGCTTGTTAAGTTAAACACCCGAGACGGTTAATGTTTGTGTTTTAAAATTTAATCTTCGCTCGATTTATTTACAACAATCAACGAACTGACAACTAGGCGTAAAAAACTAATAAATTCGATGTGAAATTCGGTGAGTGATTAGAGAGAGAGGATTTAGTTGTATGGATATCTGTCGAAGACCTGCTCCTGGCGCTCGAAGGTGCGTCGGTTCTTTGGTCGCAGCTGTCCCTGATTATTGACAGCTGCTCCGGCTGGCACATAGACCACCTGGCTCTTGAAGCAGCCCTCCACACGTGGCTGCGTGGAGGCCCTCACCGTCTGCAGCGCTTTCTTGTGGCTGTCGTCCACCTCGCCGGGATTGAGCTCCTTCTTCTGGCAGCCGCCACCTCCCGGGCAGCTGGTCACGAACCTCTGGTACTCCCTGGTATCCCCGGCAGTGGTCTGCTTGTAGTCGTAGCTATCCAGGCTGGAGCTCTGCGACTGGCCCACCTGGTCGCCCACCCGAATTTCCGGCTGAGCCGATCCCGTGGCCTGCAGCAGCTGAGCCTGCACCTCATTGGGAGCCACTCCCGATCCGTGTCCTGCATCCAGGACCTGTTGTCCCGAGCCGGTGGTCACCGGGGCATAGGGAAAGGGATTGCCGAAGAACAGTTTCTGGGCAGGCTGCTGAGGTGGCAGGTAAGTGGCCGGTGGCTGGGCAGCTGGCTGCTGTTGGGGTGGAGGTTGGTAGATGGGAGCCTGAATTGGAGCAGGCTGTGGCTGCTGGGGTGGCACATAGTAGCTTAGGGGCTGAGGAGGAGCAGCGGGAACTGGCGGGGGCAGGGACAGAGGTGGCGCCTGGTAGTTGGTGCTGACCAGCAGGGGATTCTGGTAGCTGCTCGTGTGCAACTGCTGCTGAGGAGCAGCCCGATACTGCTGATATTGCTGATACTGCGGCACCTGGCGCTGCTCCAAAAGCTGGAACACCTGCGTCTGATGATCCTCATAGATGGTTGGGGCCCTCTGCGTTTCCAGGCCGTAAGTGCGACCCAAAGTCTGCACCACGAACCTGGTGGTCTGAGGCTGCTGCTGCTGATGCTGCTGGTGGTAGGTTTCCGCCACAAAAGGAGTCTGCGGACGATGGTACTGATAGTCCTGGCAGCCAACCAAAGCCAGCTGTGGGTTAGAAAGTAAATCCAATTTAATCCAGGTTATCCTTTGGGAAATCCATCAGTGAACCCACCATCGAGATTAACAGCCATAGGGAGGGCATCTTGCTTCTTTTTTTTGGGCACTCCGCGCGTTGTGGACTCTTCGCCGGCTGGCAGCTAAATGAACTCCGGCGGGGCAGACACCCGCAAAGCCAACCCGCCAGAAGATCACTCCGAAAACGAAAACGGGTTTGGGATAACTCAAGCTGATGTTGCTGCCACCGCCGTCGCTTCTGCCAACTGGCTTTGATTTGTTGTAACAGTTTGAACACATTTCATAATTTCTTTTCCATTTATTGTCTCTGCATCGTTTATTTTTTTATTTTTTTATTTGTTTACCTTTTTCCCGCTCCAACACTCGAGCGATCGTTCGGCGCTTGCGGCATCATTTGACTATCACTCACGCAAATTTTGTCATAATTAAAGTGCCAGCTCTGCTGCTCTGCCTGCTCTTCACTGTCTGTCTGCATTTCTCCACGCACTTGGAAAATATTTCTTTACTAAAAAAAATTTATAACAAATTTTCTGAGAAACATAAACTATTTTTATGAAACTTTTAGTTTTATATCTACGCAAATAAAGTGAGAAAGAGAAATATGAAAACAAAACATTTTTGTTTATTTAATACAAAAGTATTTTACTTTGTAAATCTTATGCTAAAAAAAGTAACCTTTAATCAAAGGTATTTTCTTTGTTTTAAAATATATTATATTTTTTTTAATATTTTAAGGACTTAAAAAAATATCTTGCCTTAAACAAAGTGTTAGAAAATAGTTTTAAAGCAGCGGTCGGCAGCGCCCTATTAAGTGAGCATAAGGTTTTGTTCTGCCGACGCGCTGCTCGCAGACGTATAACGTAGAACAGCGGTCTGCACACACACATCGATGAGCTGCCCAGTGCAAATTACTCACACAAATATAAAACAAAATGTCAGCGTATGTGTGTGCCGACTGCTGTTTTAAAGAAATTTATTTTCCGTGAATAAATTCTTACGCAGGTTAAACAATTTTTGTTAGTGTTGAGGGCCGTGAAAATGTTTTCGGCCTTTCCGCTTTTAGCCACTTCAGTTCGGTTCGCTTCGGCCAAGTTTAATGTAATTTAATTTGCTTCGCATCATCTGGCTGTGCTTTCTGCGAAGCGCGTTATGTTTTGAAGCTCGGCGAAAAGTAAAAGTTGGATCTTGGCAAACATAAAAACAAACCAACAAACGTATATATTTGCCTTTAAATATGTCTGCCGATTTACAAGACTTGGCCAACAGGCACACTTTAAAAATCGCATAAACCCAGTTTAATCTATTTTGGGGTGCGGTATCTCCAAGTCTTATTGTAAATAATTTTTCCCATAATGTGCCCATAAGTGTTAATCTTCTTTTCAAATATATTGCGATTGTTAATTGGGTGGGAGATATAATGGTACTTTGATTGCTGGTAATATAATATGGTCATTAAAGGAGAAGAGAAACTGCATTTCGTATGCACGTCGTGTTGTAACTTTACAAAAGACTGATGTTCAAATTAAACCCAATCTTTCTTTGTCGTTTCGCACATAATTAGGCTAACCAGATGTGGGTATTCATAAATATGCAATAAACCAGTCAATTTACTGGCTTCGATGTGGCAATACCCATTCAACCGGATTAAGCGATTGACACGCACCAGAAATGTTTGAGCTCTCGAGCATTAAAGGAAGCCAGTCTTTGGTATTTGAACTGTGCTGACATTGTCTTTGTTTCAGCGTTTCCGTTTGACAATTGCACGCAGTCAGCTCCTGACGGTCGCCTGCAGCACAATTCCTTGGCAATTGCCCTCGTCTTTAGTCCTGCATCCTGCGTCCTGCCTCCTTTGCCATACATAGTTCCAAACGCGGGCTAACGTCAATCAAAGACGCGCCCTGTTAAATGCACTTGACTGCCACTTGACACAGCAAATGTTGCTGGCGTTGCTCCGGCGTCAAACAAAACATCTTGGCAAGCCAACTGCCAACACTTGACATTCGCCATGAATGCAGCGGAGATCAGCGGGCGGAGATGTCCTGCAGGGGGCGGTACACTCAAAGAATATTCCAATAATTCTATTAATTTTAGGAGTAACTTTGAGTTCGCTTAAGACTTATATCTAAAATGTTCACAGAAATAGTAGTTATATCTAAAGTTTGAATGGTGCAAAAAGAAGAACGATTACCCTTTTTTACTGAAGAAAAAATATAATTTCAGATGACTGAAACTATAGTCTATAGTCTATAAATGACTTATTATTTTATATCATTTTTTTAAACGCGTATTTCTGATATTTGTAGCATAAAAGTTAGTTTTAATTTTCCCAAGTACTAACTGATATCACAAAAAACGTCTCTCTTAACCACACGAATTAATTTCCTGTGTAAAAACGCACAAAACGCGGGCAGCTGTCGCAGATGGAAATGCAGATGTCGAGATGCGGAGGCTTATCACGCTGACTCGAGAGCGGGAGGCGCTCCATAATGCAAGTGGCCAATGCTGCGTATACGCAATCTGCTGCAGTCAAGCCTTTTTGAGGGGCGGAGGTTGAGTGGGCGGTGGGTGGCTGGGCTGGGCTGGTGTAGTGGCCTCTCCGCCCAGAGTGTGGGTGCGTCTGTGAGTTGTCTGTCTTTGCTGCCTGTTTGCATTCATTGCAGTCATGCATTCAGGGTTATGAGCTCCAGCCAAGTTGCATAAGTTGCATGCAACCTTCGAGCAGATAGAGCACGTGCAGTTCTTCCGCCTGTTTGTGTGCGTGCTCTTTCAGTTTGTTTTTCGCCATATAAAGCGTCACTTTAGACACCTGTCTTTATGTGTGTTTGTGTGGGTGTTTGCCAGCCGCTTTGTTGCCGACTTTTGGGCTTTAGTTGCAAGCAGGGGGATCTGCTTAATTAGGCGCAGCTGCAAATTAGTAGCAGCCAGCAGGTTGAATGACCTTTGGCAGCGCAGCGAACCAAAAAAATAGGAAAAACAATAAAAAGAAAGCCCAGGCGAAAGGCAGAGGCAAACAAACAATGCAACAGCGTTGGAGAACTCGCAAAAAAACGAAGAAAAATCAATTGCATAATGGCGCATGTGTTGCGCAGAACATCAGCAGTACAAATTTGCAACTCTTTTTCCATTTGCACGTTGCAAGACAAAAACGAGGAGAAAAAAGTATAAATTCAACCACCACTTCAAGCAGCGATTTTTGCCTGATTTTTTTCTGCTTTTATTTTTTTGTTTTTTTTTTTTGTAACTGTCGCAGACACACACATTGAAAAGCGGGCGGTAGACATGTGTGTGTGTGTGTGTTTGGCAGCTTTTGTTTGCACCCGCATAGGAAGCCATTTAAGTGCGGCTTCTTGAGAAAATTGCAGCCAGAGCGGATAGAGAAAGAGACGGAGGCAGAGACGGAGATGGAGAGATGAGGCCCTTCGAGGACGTCACTAACGAGCAGCCACCTGCACCACCCACCCCAAAAACCCACCCCACCCATAATTAACAGGAGCCACAGCAACAGACACGCCAACGAGAGCTTAGCTCCCTTGTGGGGCCTATCATTTCCTAGGGAGACAAAACACAAAACAAAAAATAAAAATGAAAAAGAAAGAAAAACCATAAACCCAAAGGGTTTTGGATTTGGGTCTGGGAAACCCGGTCGGTGCAAAAGCCTCTGGCTTGTTGGACGACTCAAGCGCCTTAATAGGCTTAGCAGCGAGTCAACTATCAAAACAAGACCGATAAAAGTTGAGCTCCAGCAGGAGCCCGGTCCATCCTGAAATACGACGACTACACTATATATGTATATCCCCCGTGTGCGGCGCACACATTGTGCTGGGGAAGTGGAAAAACTTTGCCTATATGATATGCTCTCATGCTCCAGATGACGAGGCCCGAATGCTTTGTCAACGCATGCCACATGGAATATTCATCGGTTGGGCTGTGGACCAGGGCGGGGGCGGAGGTTGGTCTAAGGGGGCGTGCCACAGTTTATGGCACGTTTGTGCCGCAGCCAGCTCTCATTATGTGGCAGCCACCGCAAGTACGTGCCCCGGACAGCCCATAAGCAGGCCAAGCCTTCCGCCCAGGAATCAGTCTGATTCGGATTCCCACTCAGACCCCATCTTGAGGTCTTTGTTTTTTAATTTTCCTTTGATTACATTTTTTTGTACTTCTCGTAAACCCTTTTAATATTTTTATAATCTCCTACACAGCTGAGAGTTTTTAAAAACGCTTAAAGATTCCTTTTTAAATGGTTAAGAAAATTCTGTGTTTTGGTTTGCTATCCCCCTAATTGTTTAAAAGAAATAAGCAAAAGTTAGGATTACATTTTCGAATTGAAATGGGAAAATACTCATATAACAGGACTACAAAAACTTGTAAGTATTTAGCATTTTTAAATAGATTAAAGAACTTGTTCCGTTTTTGGTTATAACTATTTTTATTTCAATGTCCTTTCAACCCTTTTTTATTCCTATGCCTTTTTGACCCTCCAATCCATGTTCATTTGCCAGTAATCTGATTAGTCGGCGTGGCTATCTATAGATCTGCATTATTAACACTCCAATCCGGCGTAATTCGTTGATTAAACCACCGTGGGAGTGCTTTTCCCGGGCCTAGAGTCTAGACCCACCCACCAAGGTCGGCAGGTGTGGCGCCATCCGCTCTTCGCATTCGGCTGCATCAGCAAACAGTCGCCCGCTCTACGAGAAAGTTACAGCGCAATGTTGCTGATGACAGCAGCAATATCAACCGGCACTTGCAACAGCAACATCAGCAGCAACAGCAGCAGCAGCAACTGCCGCTCCCTGGATTTGTTTGCAGTCATTCGCATGTGTCATCATCAGCGGCCGAGATGATGAAGCACAAAATATGCCCAGGCTCGCTCGCAACTAAACTGACTGACTGCCTCGATGTCTCGCTGGAAAAAAGAAATTAAAATAAAAAATTGCACGAGCACACAGGCAAACAGACAAATGAGGACGCCAGCGGTGACATGATAGCCTGTGAGCGTCTGCCGACCGTCCTGGAACACTGAGAAAAAATATTATTACTTGCTTTGATTTTTTTAAGATCCTTAAATATATTTTTATTTGTATATGGGAGACAAGTATATTCCAATCACAAGTATATTTTACCATTTTTTTTAATTTTACTGGGAAGTTTTGAAATTCTATTAATTTATTTGTTAATATTTAGTAAATAGCATTTGTATTTTTTTAACATTATTAAGAATAGATTAGATTTCCTTAACAGCCTTTAATAATTTTTTTATTGTTGAAAATATTTTAAATCAATTAATTTATTTGGGAATATTTTATAAATTGCATTTGTATTCTTTTTATTATTATACAGAATATTTTACTTTAAGTGGTTCATAGCGTTGGTCTCTGCTGGCTGCGCAGC